GGAAAAGAGGTTTTGCACACAGAGAAGGTGGAACCCAAAGATCTCAGCTCAGGTGTCCAATCCACGGGGAGCCCCTCTAACTCCATCTCCAGACTCGGCTTACGCGGGCTTCCATTTGCAGAGAAAAGGAAAATTTCTGCTACAGCTTATATCAGACCAATCCAGGTGCCCTGAAAGAAAGGAAGATGGGTGGTGCGTCAGCCTTTAGAGCCTGATGTGGCATAGGATTGGGCCACTAGCAGACTATCTTTTCTCAAATACATCTGCCTGTCCACTCATGGGGGGCGCGTGTCATGCACAAATAGCTCCAATCTACAAGAATCTAGTCAACTAACGGTCAAAGCCAAATTGGCACTAAGTAAGGCTCAACAGAATTCAAGGGGGCTGGAGTTGGGTCTCTAGTGGCAACGCAAAGACTTCAAACAGATGACAAGTTTAACTCCGCCTTCCAGCTCAGCCTGCTGCTCTCCTACAGGTGGGGTGTCATATACTGCAGCTCCCCTCATCTACGCCTTGCCTTCTGGTGGGATCTAGGAAAGGTCCATGTTCGGTGGCTGCCTCCCTGTTCTAGAACAATCTTCCTGCTCAGCTACGACAGACCCGACTCTTTCATAAAGGCAGCTAAGACTTGGCCCTTCCCTCCAGCCTTTGGGTCTCTGCTTGGGGGGTTCTGGGAGCTGAGAACCAGATATTATAAGCTGAGCCATCTCTTTTGCAAAGGAGTTGAGATTTGGGTCTCCGCTTGGGGGGTTCTGGGAGCTGAAACCCTCACTTCTTAAATTTGCCCATCTTGAAAAACACTGCATTGATCGATTCTATTCCGATGGCTGTTTTGCACACCTGGCTTTACTTTTTGAAACGAAATACAGTCCATGTTTTAGGTTGTATGTTTATTTTTGGTGCTGTGGGCCACCCAGAATCCCCCCGATTGAGCTGGGTGGCCATGGAAATCTCCATGTCTGAAATGAAACCAAGCATCCACAAACCTCTCCAGCTTTGAGAGTGAATGAGGAATAATAGCAGAAAGAAGCAGTTAGACGAGGTTGCCGCTGCGACAAATGCCGAGATGGTGAACTGCCATTTTGTGAGGCTCTGGAAATGCCTAACTTTTGCCTGTTAAGGTTTTCCAAATCAGCCACCCCAGAAAAAGTCTCTTTTAATTTAAGCATTATTCCCAGGAACTATATGGATGTCTCTCTTCCCTTCCCTTCCCTTTCTGTCTTCCCTTCTCTCCCCCTCCCCTGCTTTCCTGGAATTAGGGGTGCAAACTCCAACCACACAAAAAAATGAAGGGTTTTCATACTGACCGAATGAAGCATAGAGAACAACGCAATAGTCCTTCTGAGACACATTGTTGGGTTCGCGAAAGGCCCATTTCCTGTACGTGTCTAGTGATCCATCAATCCAGCGCCATCCAGTATACTGC